TTTGCAATTTGATCGTGCTGTCAAGGCGACTTAATTGAGCACACCTTGTCCGAACCCTTCTGCTATAATGATCATAATTCTCAGCGTCAGACCGTGGATTTAGTACATTCAGACGTTTCGCCGGCATCGTAGTCGGCATCATCAGTGAGTCTTGCAATTCTTAGCACCAAGACAATGCTTGGTGCTGAGAATTGCAAGACTCACTGCTCAGGTATAAACGAGCACCTTGAGAGAGGCTCAAACAAACTACTATCTTAATTCATGCAGCAATATAATAGTGGTTCCTACACATTAGAAAATTGCGGATTCAACCAGAACTCTGAATTGTGCGCGAAGTCAGCTGCAGAGGTGGCAACCGCAGGTGAATAACAGACGAGGGGTCGCTCAAGGCGGGTGCGCTCAGTCAACGACCAGAGTGTGCGCCTCAATTCAGCCTCAGGCAGACCGGTAGCTGTGAGGAGACTATCGAAACTGATACGAACCAAAGGCGCAGCTGAGGTCTGGGACTGTGCAGCGGAGGGTTCTGATGTAGAACACAGTTCCGAAGGTTGACTCGACGTAGATTGGGTCTCAGGGATATGGCATGTGTCTTGGGTGGAAACAGAATTAAGAATTACGGGAGAATCAGCTAAGATGTGAGACGAAGGGATCAATGATCCAGGTTCCCTGTTGACAGGAGTTGAAGATTTAATGCTGTTCGTTGACGTTCGAGAGGCGAGGGCGAAAAGTACGGCCATTTGGAAAGTGGTCACCTCGATCTCAGTTCTTCCGTAATCAGCATCATAGGATAGCACACCATGTGAAAGATGATACTGCCAGAGCAAACTGCGGCCCTGGTGTTTTTGACGATATAGGGTCTCAATCTGTGAAGAGATAGAATAGAAGTAAGGGGAATAGTGGTCTTTTAGCTGCTTAAGCTGTTTTGACGAAGAAAAAATATAGACTACCAAAAGAAGCCAGAAAAGCGTAAATTGCCAGTATAAGCTTATAATCCGATAAGTAGTCTGAGCCTTTATTTATGGCAGATTTGTAGGTTCTAAGGATTTTAAAATGATAAAACTTAAAGTTTAATGCAAATACATATATCAAAAGTGTATCTTAACACAATAGCATAGCAGAGGATGGATATTTGACTAAGCATAAAGAGTTTATATATGAGATATATTCAGCCAATTTCGCTTAAGGTGATAGTAGTTTAAATTATTATAATGATGCTATACGTAGGCTTTACGTTTTCATTTAATTTCGCATAGCCTTGCTTCCAAAAAAGGAATTCCCATCCAAGATGGACTGCAGTTTCGAACTCAACATTACGCTAACAGGTTTAGAGTTCTGTTTGGGGTGCCTATGATACCAAGGTGAGGTAAAAACTGGGTAAACTGGGTGAGAATACCTTTTGGGAAGCAAGGTTAAGTGAAATTCAATAGAAACGTAAGGCCTATCTATATCAATATGGAGAAAATTCAACTAATAGTCCTTTAGCACCTTAACTAAATAGGGTGAATACATTTCATATATATGGTCTGCCGGCAGTCTTCAAATCTACTTATACACGGAAAATAGCGAGTATGTGCTAGCGAAAAGATGTTTATTTTTATTACATATTCCGGCCAGTTATTGTCACAAAAATAGCGATAATGAAAATATTGGGATCTAGAGTTGGAAATTATCGTAAGATTTTTCAGAAGTTTGCATTTGGTGAAGTGATTCGGAAAAAGAATTTAATTATTCTACTTATCCCAAAAGTGTCGACTCATCCAGGAGCCTAAAAGTCGCGTGTCGGAGTTGATAGTTAGTAAAGAGTCTTCCAAAAGATGCCTCATTTAGCTGGGACAGATTCCCGATGGGTGTGGTAGGTAGGTCGAATTGATCATTAAAACATCAATCCAAAGTTAACTTGACCTGATTTTCGAAACTTTATATTGGCAAGAAGATCTAGAGGAACGCACCTTGTCCGGAGTCCATAGCATGCATGATAATTTCCAGGGTCCGATCGTGGACTTAAAACATTCCCAGACGTTTCGCCGGCATCCTCAGTGAGCCTTGTCATTCTTAATAACAAATTACAAGTCGTCAGAGAGACAAGTGAAGTCGATCTTTTGACCAATTGTCTGCTAAATAGTTGTCGTATCTCTCCTTCTGTTCTGAGGTATTCATCTATCCGATATCCTCGTATCACCCGTTCAATATCACTATTTCTTACTTGTTTATCTAAGCCTAACAGAATACTCCAGGACAGAAGTAGAAATACGACAAGTATTTAGCAGACAAGTGGTCAAAAGATCGACTTCACTTGTCTATCTGACGACTTGTAATGTGGTGCAAAGAATGGCAAGGCTCACTGAAGACGCTGGCGAAGCGCCTGGGAATGTACTAAATCCACGGTCGGGCTCTAGAAATTATCATGCATACTACGGACTCCGGAAAAGGTGCGTTTCAGTAGGTCTTCCTGTCAATATAACCAACTTGCGAAAACAAGGTCAGACAACTTCTATGCAACGAAACTAGACCGCTATCATACACATCTTCATATATTCAACTAAAAAGTAATACCTGTGGAATGAAATCCTCCAATTCTGGCGGAAGAACAAGCGATATCTTTTGTTGCAATTGCGGTAGCCAGGCGCCAGAGCTAAGTATTTTAACATTGACCAAATCGAGGTTGATTCCAAAGTTAATGGGTGGTGAAATGACAGCTAAGGCAGTGGAGGCTGAGGTGTTTGCTTTGTTGCCATTTATGGTGTTTCCAGAAGTAGGGCCAGTGTTCTGGGTTGCTAGAGCTAATGAGTTTGTTCTCAAGGCTTCCTTGAATTCGGCTGTCAGATCTTGGGAAACCTTAATGTCCTGAAACATCCGACTCAGCTTATTGATCTGCTCTGCAGGCATTCCAACTTCCTAAAGGTAGATAGGAAAGAGAGACTAACATTGATGCGAAATTAAGTAATACAATAAAGACGTAAGAAAAAAAGGAAAAATAAAAATATGTAAAGCTAAAAAAGAAGAAAATAGGTGATTAGAAAGGGGACAAAATATAAAAATGATAGATAACAAAAGTCAAAACAATAAATGATAAACAAAATCTCAAATTAATTAAAAACTGCTTATTTATAAGGTTTCCGATTACTTTGTGAACCAAAGTATCTATATCAAATATGAAAAATAAGTCAATGTAACTATGGCTTAAAGATGTAAAAAGTGTGCTTCCCACGGCTATCCTGTGAATAGGAATGGCTAGGCTTTTAATAAATAAAGTCAGCAAATAAGAAAAGGTAAACTGCAAAGTTAATGCGAACAGTCAAGGGAGATTGAAATTAGACTATATAATCATGGATTCCCAACATATCATTGGGTTGAATAAACGAAGGGGAAAAAGTATCAGCAAGTTACAAAACTGGCCCGATGACTGAGAAGATAATCAGACGCTTGAAAAGAACAGATTATCTCTACATGCCTTGAAATATTCAGATATATATACGTGCGACCAGGATATAAGAATGCATTTTTAGAATTTTAAATGTCATATTATAACTATGGTAACAGCAAAAGGAATACTTTGAGGGCTCAAAACCTTATAATTGAGATTCCCATAATAGGTTGAACAAAAGTTATAATTTAGTGGAGCTGAAACGCTATTCAGACCCTACAGATTATCTCTACAGTCCTTAAAATATTCATATATATAGACGTGCGACAATCGCTATCCCTTTTTGCTGGTCCTTTTCTATTCTTATTTCCCCCAAGTTTTCTTAAACAGTAAGCAAAGTTATCGCTAACTCTACCTTCCTCCAATCTCCTGTTATTAGATTTTTCTCCCAAAGTATGTCAATTGCCTCCGTAATCTTCCGCTTCCTTATGCTTTCACCGTAAGAGTCGCTTCTTTCTATG